TGATGGACTATGGACGACTGACTTTGAAACGTTCCATTCAGATCGGATGGCGCCCCCTCGTGCCAATCCCCCCTGCGGTCAACAAGCTTTTTTCAAGGGGTAAAAGGCATACCATATCTATATCAAATGCCATGTTGATATGAACTTTGCAAATGTACTGTTACCTGTTAAAATAGTACATTTCACTGACATCGTTTCATAGCCACTTCAAATACAGTTTATAATTTACTGTAATCTGGAATTGCTAGGCTGTTATATCACTACCTAATATATACACATTGACATTTGAATACATCAATTGAACATAGCAGACATTTATTTGAATTGTTCATTCTTGTGTACTATAAACAAAACTTTTAAGAAATAAAAGTATCTTTATCTCAGTATGGATCATGCAACCTTATTTGTACAATATTAGAATGATTTTATTGCTTAGTGGTACTATAGAAATGAATATGAAATACAAATATGAGGTCCCCATACTCGTCGAAAAAAAAAATATGTACAAAATGAAGTGAATATAGCATATTCTGGCAATATACATTTGTTCGGTCAAGGATGTGTCTCAATATCTAAATTTTTGTCAGTGACTTATGGTAAAAAATTATACACAGTTTCTAACAATGTGCTGATTCATGTCCAGAAGTATTTAAAAAATGACAATATTTGTAGCGCATTTTTAATGATGAAATATGTTTTCATTGTTGTATAGAATTTCCATTTTGTGCATATTTTCTTCTCAAAAAACAGATTGACAGTGAATTAAAAAAGTTCACGCACTGTTGATTAAAACGTTTAATTATCAACAGATTTTGACTTGAAATATTGTCACCGCTATATATGTGGTAAAACACATGAGTAGCATAACTGCTGTTGTTGCTTTAGCATATTCTGAGCTAAATTGGATAGTATCAATAACATACTAGCTATAGGGCAACTATGATAAACTATCCCAACAAGTATTCTGAGATTTTATTATGTATTTACAGGTTGCTAATTTGAATACTAGCTTTTCACTTAAGGCATACACGTTTATTTTAAATTCACCTTGCAAATTCCTTCAATTTAGAAATCATGCACTTATATAAGAAAAAGGGCAAAAACTTTTACATCATCTTAAACTTACAATTTTTTAATACATTCGCATACAGTAACTTTCATGTTAAGTTTATTTATATAACAGGGACAATGACTTGTTCCCATCGTTGTATTGTAGATTTTTCTGTACGTGTAGTAATGGCTTGTCCCCTTGAATTACTAGCTTAAATCCTTGGATTTGTAGTAGATCTTCCTGTATCCTCTTTGAGTGGCACCAGCTTGCCTTCTTGCAGCAACCTTTGTGGTCTGTGTCTTGCTGGGATGGCTAATTCATCATCATTCCATCGTCTGTCTGCCCGAGCCATGTCAGCTTTCATAGTTTGAGTCTCTACTGTCTTGGCTTTACCACCACTGGTAGCTTCTACATGGTATGGCAAGAAACATTGTTTACAGAGGTGAATTCCACACTCCCTACACTTGAACACTGTGGTGATGTAACAATCACTAGGGGTCTTCTTATCCAATTTTATACACCATCTACAGCTAACACCTCGTCCTTTCCCACGAATCAAGTTGTGATTCTCGTATGTGGTGAGGGGTGGTTCTGCATTACTCAGTCTCTGCTTTCTGGATGTAAAACCACCAACCAATGCTGTGCCTACCTCAACTTGGAACGATTTGTTTTGTTTTTTTCCATCCACCAATTCGCCATATATTATGCGGGCATTGGTTAATGCTGTGTCTAGCAGGTAAAAGAATACATATTTCCACCACTTATGGCACTGACGCTGAGCGGTGTAGTAGGACCGCAACTGGTTGACCCTACCCATGTATTGGTTGTAGTCTTCTACAACTGCCGGGGCAGGTAGTGAACATGCAACCTTCCGTCCTTGTTCATTTCTGATGTACCTTACCACTCTGGTGTCATCTTCTCTTCTGAATCCCTCTCTGCAGTTTGTGATCAAGGAAAGTAAATTTGAATCACGCCATACAACAGCGACTGTCTCACCTTTTTGCCTAGAGACAAACTGACCTCTCTGTAATGTAGTTATTTGATCACTCTCTGGATTTCTCCGTGGGTTGGTTTTAAGGGCATCAGGAAACCCTACCCTGTCTTGTCTGACACTCCCCACTACATAAGTATGGTGATGTGCAAGCAGATGTTCTGCCATATTTATACTGGTGTAGAAGCTATTAGTATACAATATATGGTAGAGTCCTCTGATAGGTTGAATCAAATCAACACAAATAGCAATTGTCTTGGATTCATTGTGCTGGTCTTGGTCATGGCTTCCAGTCATGAATACCATGTGATATATGTACTGAGTTACTGAATCAGTGAGAGCATACACTTTAAATGCTTTGGGTTTTCCCTGGATGTGAGCAGTGGGAATCTTATTATACCGACCCTTGTATGCAATGATAGCCTCATCAATTGCAACATGCCGATGAAGATTGTAACACTTCCTTGAACGTCGCATTATTACATCCAATACAGGGGCTACTTTGTACATGGGTTGGGCTCTGCATTGCCTTGTTCTCTCAGTGATATCAGTGATGTTGGCAGGGTCACTAGCTGCATCATTGCAATGAAAGTATTGCATCAACTTTTGGAATCGGTTTCTGCTCATTATATTGGCAATGAAGTCATTACGTAGTGCTCTATTCTGAGACCAAAAATCAGCAATTTCAGTCTTATGATCAGTGCCCATGAGTACCATGATTCCAAGCAGGGCTTTCATCTCCTCCATATTGGTCACTGACCAATTTAAATCAACTCCTTTTTTGAATTGTACATATCTGGCATAACTATTTGTCTCGTCAACCAGTTTAGATACCAATGATGGTGGAAATATTTCATAAAATGTGCTGAGTGGTGTAGCACCATCCCCTAAAAAGACATCTGCACCAGGGAGGTCTCCTGTGAACTCCTCAACATCAAGACTTGTCAAATGGCGAGTCCATCCATCAGGATCTGCTGGCTCATTGGTGTCTGTCTCACTCTCTTTTGGTTCTTTATACCCTCTGTCTACCCATTTACTCTCTATTCTGGTCAAATTTGGTATATTTCTAACACGAATACATGCTCGATCATTAAGCCCTTCTCTACCATCTTCCTCAGTGAAGAGAGACATTTCGTCATCTGAGCCAGACGTAGTGCCCAAGTCACTAGAACCACTTGAGTGTAGCATGTACTCCTGATCACTGTTACCACCATCACTGTCTGATATAGCCTTGTGATGAGATCCTTTTTGACCCCTTGTGAAACTTTCAGCCCAACTAGCGCTAATCCCATGTCCCTGGACTTCCTCAAAATCCATTGATTCTGGAAATCTATCATCATTATTCTTATCACCTGAGACGTAGGGTAAATTCAGACATTCTCGCTCACCTTCTCTAACAGTATCAGTCTCTACCTGGTGCACTGTCTCACCATCCTCATTACATGCCTGATCAGTGTCTTGAGGGTTTGCAGGAGACTGTTGTCCTTCCTCATCAAAATGTATGTGACTGCCCTGCCCTGATGTTGATATTGCTCCAGACCTTGTCCTTCTTTGACCTGTAATGATAGCACTTTCTTCATCAGTAAATTTGCAATAAATTTAATTCTGTTAGTGACATACTAAATGGTAGGAATGGGAACCATGCAATCCTGTAATTATAAATGCTGGGAATATATATTACCCACTTCACTGTGTTACATGCCATTACATGTATATAGATCATGCTAACTCATTAAAACAATGTTATTTAACTGCGTTAGTTCTGCTAAAAATAAACAATACGGAATGTAAACAGACATTTCTGCTAGTCATGTCTATCCTTATTATGTAAGACAAGAGATACAAATCCCCCTTGGAATCCCAAGCCTGTTTCCTTTGTACTTACATGTACTTATTTGATCCATGGCCCAAACCTGTCCTGATCTTCAGAAAACTTGAATATTGAGGGCAGGAAAAAACAGCTATAATTCATAACGTACTGCAGAGCTGTATAGCATCTCAGTTATTTTCAATCACTGACAGCCAAGTTTGACCATACTCAGCAGCTGTCATCATCCTCCAGAGACATCGTGTTTCATCCAGTAACTGACCAATTGAATGATTTACTGCAACCGTATCACACTTGGGAGATATGGGGTATATAGTTACAGTCAATGACTGGCCTGCAAGTGTTGGAACTTAGGAGAAAGAAGATTAAAACACAGTTGTTGCTGCCAGGATGAAAAGAATTACATGAATATGTGAAATACATTAAAAATGAGTCAGTCATACATGTAGTTATTAAAGTAACACTTCAAACTCATTCAGTAACTTAGTCATGTAATCTACGTAGAAATTTCATAAAATATTCATAAAACCCTGGAAGACCCTCCAGCGTTATTCAAATTTAATTCATTGCCTATAGTTTATTTTGGTAACAACACTTACCATTGGATTTTGCTAGTTACATCAATCATTTGCCCATTGGTCAAGTTGTTTTTAACTATCTTTCGAAATTTATAAAACATTTATAAATAATTTATATAAAAATATTTATGAAACAAAGAATATCATTTGAAAAATTAGCTTTACCCTTTGTCTTGTATGTTAATGGAATGATCTAAAATGCGGAGATCGAATTGCAAAGCTGCTAACTGACTGTCCGATTAAATTTCTCATGGATTTGAAAATTAAAAAAATAACAACATTCCTGTGTTCTATAACAATATTATGTAAATAATAAGTATAAGAGAGGTATAAAAATTAAAATGGTCAGTCAGCTTAAAGAATCAGAATCCATAGGACAATAGTTAATAGATTTTATTTGTGTCTTTGGTTTGTCAGACTATACCAATGGGATATCTGGTTAATCTTGTGATTGAATTATCCTTCTTGTATTTCATTTTTAGATGCATGTTTTCAAACCTCTGATGCCAAGACTGAGTAATCTAATACAAGCTACTTATAATAGAAGTGCAGGCAAGTGTATGCAAGTAGTTTTCTTCAGTTTATTAAAATTGATACATAGAAACTTAATTTGTTGTATTTGAGTTGCAAATATTCAGTTTGTACAAATAAATTATGTATCATGTTTTGTTTCAGTTTTAATGTTATTGGATCACATTACTAGTAGTTCAAAAAACAATATAACTGAAAACTACAGATACAGGTTTTTGGGAGAAAAATATAGTTAGTCTAGCAAAGTAGCAAACACAGACCCCACCTTGAGAAAATTAGGCAAAAGTTCAACACTGTGGAAGTACTTGGTAAAACAAAATTGTTGAATAATTTATTTAATAATAGATTTATCGTATATTCAATATTCAGGCCAGTGCTAATATCTTAATAACAGTCTTAGTCATTTTTAACACTTTTGGTATCATAATTCTTCTTGCCAAAATTTTGGTCTAACATTTTGTTTATTTTTATGACTTTTTTAATTACGCTTTTGATAATTTTCGACCAAATATGGCTCCTATGGCTACAGGTGTTGATTAAAATATTGGAAAAAATTTGTAAACAAAATGATTTTGTGAAAAGTGACAAAACTTGATTTTGTCATTCAAAGGTTTAATGGGTCCAATTATGAGATTATTATTCACTGTTTTATCAGATTAGTAGAGCAAAGCTTGAGATTTTCTCACTGCTTAGAAGTTTGGGACTAAGGTTTTTAAACAGGTTCTATTTTTTTTCTTATCCAAAAATATTCCATGATTGTTCTATATATTGAGACAGAAATATGAGTGGATTGTGTATGATTAGTAATGCTATTGTGATTTGCTATGAATTATGGGACACTATAACACAACAAACTATGTGGGTTGAAATATAAAATATAAAAAAAAACATTATTTTTGTACAATCACTTTTTGGCGACCATGGAATTTTTTTTACATTCCTCTCATAAATTGTTGTGTTTGGGTTTCAATGAACACTGTTCATTAGAGATGCAGAGATTCAGTAATTTTTCTGTAGTATCCATCCTACCACTATACTTTCACCCAAAATAATGTTTTAGGGAAAGATGCTTTTGGGGCTATTGAGAATCTGTCTAAAGTCTCCTCTCTTAGCAAAATATGAAATTTCACTGTATACTTGCCTTTAATATTTGTAGTAAATGATTTTTTTTATCTGAACCTGGATTGAACCATTTTGAGATGTTAACCTTATGCCAAATTGGTATCTTGTTTATTCTACAGGTTTTGCATATATGCATTCCTCATGGTTAGCTGTGCTATTTGAAAGAACATTCAAACATGACAGTAAAAACACAGTTGTTAAATGGGCATTATTAGAATTCCTCACTCTTGATTTCACACTATGTCCCCTGCTGAAACAAGGTAATAGTAAGGTGAGTGTCATCACTTCATATTTCTACCTATTGTACCTTTCAATGAATTGGTCCACTAAATTCTCTGATTGGGTTAATTTTTTGGTTTGACTTGTTTGTTTCGTGGTAAGACAGCTTTTGCCATTTATACACTTATGTAAAAAAAAATTTGTCAGAAAAAACTGTATGCAAGTCTAATCTGACCAGATTCAAAACCAGATTCTAAATGACTAAGGGAAGAGTAGGAAATCAAACTCGCGGTTTACCGTGGTGGTGGTGGGTGCTCGCCGGTCGACCGCATTTTATGCAAATTTATGCATAGATTGCATGACCCCGGTTTACCGCGGTCGTGTGCGGTAGGCTCGCATGGCAATTTACACCCTATTGTTAAGACTATGAATGGACACAATAGACTGGGAAACTAAAGGTTACTTGCCGCCAAGTTCAAATAATAAAAATCGAGTGGTACCAGAAGATTGGAAAAATGGTCTCTATTAGTTCGCAGAAGAACACTATTTTATTTTTACGAGTCTTGGTATAACATCGCAAAGCAACCCAGAATAATGTAGACTTGATAATGACTTTGCCGACTTGATAATGCGTTGGCTTCGTAATAATTGCGCAAACTTGTTTTTCATGGTTTACGTACTGGCTGTGAATATTTCAACTTTGCCGACTTGATAATGCGTTGCCTTTGCAATAATTACGCAAACTTATTTTTTATACCCCTGTCGACACCTCGAGTCAGGCTGCTATCACCCTTTCTATTTCAGTAATTGACGGTCTGTAGGTGTTAAGTTGTCACCTCCAACTGATTGAGCGGGCAATTAAATACGCGATAATACCAGACTTAGTTTTTCTACTTTAAAACTGACGGCAAAACACAATACAATCGTCCGGAGCCATCGAACTACACGACTTAGTCGAAACCGCGACTTACTGCCTCAGAGACGGGGCCTCTGAATAACTGTTGTTGATAATGATATTGTAAACAAACACGCACACACAAAACATTAAAGCCAAAAAAGTCAAGTCAAGAAACAACATTTCAAATAATAATAATTATGGTTTGACATCTATATCATTTTGAAATAAACTAAATTTCATGTAAATAAAATCCATGCGTTACAATTTACTGTAATTTCAAACTCAGGGCAGTGTACTTTGAACGCAGAGTATTCGATCGCTTACATTTCGAGTGAAAAAAA